AGCACAAAGATGTTAAACCTATCTAACATCCCTTAGGTAGTAATTTAGCAGGATTTAAACTGAGCAGTACAACACCCGAGGAGTCCCTAGGTGGTGCAAATAGTTAAGCGCTTGACTACAAGTTGAAAAGCTGTCAGAACCCGTGCAGAGCGCCTCTGAAGACAGGCAGGCGTGGCAATGTTTCTGAAGTCACAACCCTGAAAACCCTGTGGCGCAGTCCTACTGGACACACGGCACCACAATGGGCTGAAACAACACCAAAGAGCAATCTGTACCTGTTTCCCCCTTTTCATCTACCTCTCAACTGAAAGCTGTCAATAGCAGGCAATGTTTCAGAGCCGAGTATGAGAAAACATGATCACTTCTACTATGAAACACATGACACTGCCCAAATGACCCTAGATGAGATTCTGCACTGACAGAGTGGCTCCAACAACGGGCTTGAAAATAAAAACTTCAAGGATGACGCAGGGCCAGCCAGTGAGTGCCGTTTGTTCTCTTGTACATACACAGGGCCACTGTAAGTCAGAGCCAAATCAATGGCACCTATCATCATCACCCAGGTGATGGTGTTTAATGCTTCAAACACTTCTTCCCAAACTCCAATTCCAACTCCCATGGGCCCTGTTAGGACACTGCCCTGTGAGCTTCCAAGACTAACTCTTTACAGGGGTAGAAAGCCTCATCTCTCTCCTGCAGAGCTGCTAGTGGTTTCAAACTATGTTAGCAGCTCAACACACAAGCCATGACACCACCAGGGCTCCATCAAGCGTAAAACTTCACGCTCATTGCCATCGAGTCAATTCCAACTCATAGGGTGTTGAGTTTCAGAGACTTTAAATCTTCACAGAAGCACAAAATCTCATCTTTCTCCTGTGAAGTGACTGGTGTGTTCAAACTGCTGACTTTGTACTTAACAGCTCAATGTGTTAAACCCACTACACCACCAGGGCCCCTCCACGGTTCCGTGGACAAGAATAAATCACACAAAATCCTCTGATTAGAGTATGTACCTTAATATACCCACCTACTGCCACTGGCTCAGTTTTACTCAGAGACTCAACCCTTTTGGACAGAGAGCTACCACTCAAAACTTTCAAGACTGCAAATCTCTCTAAGGCAGCAGACCAACTCCAGAAACTCTCTTGCAAAGTGGTTGGCAGGTGTGAGTGAACATTTTTGTAGTTAGTAGCTCAATGCTTACCTCACAGTGCCACGAGGGCTCTTGCACCCTAAAAAAACCCCAATAGACAAGTCTATTGCGACCCAGTGGATGACAACAAACAGTGACCCTACATAAGGGTTCTAAGACTGTGAATCTTTTCAGGGACAGCCAGCCTTGTTTTTCTCCCATGAATAAATGGTGGGTTTGAATTGCCAACCCCACAGGAGCCCAACCCTTAACCTACAGCACCAGCAGGGCTCATTTGCACCCTAATATACATGTTGTAAAGATCCTTGAAGGCACTACAAAGGCCAGAAGACAATGTGATTTATCTAGTCAACTATCAAATTCTGTCTAAAGTTATTTGATGTAAAATTCTGAACCTTTAACAAAATTCAGTAAAGATTTAAGCTAAGGTTCTTGATCTAAATTAAACAATGTAATTTACCAGTAGTAATAATGCTGAACTATTTCCCGCTGAGACATCTTTGCAAAGTAATAAGAAAAGCAGCAAAGTAGTAAGAGTCTAAGCAGCAGCAAGCACTTCACCCAGTACTTTTTACCTCAACACATAGAAGATCCCAGAGAACTTAGCCACCTGACACATTAGTTTGTGTTAAAACAAGGTCTCCCAATGTTTTTCTGTAATAGTTGTGTATCATCAATCTAGTTACAAAGCCTGGTAAGTATAAGATGGCCATAAATGTCTTCTTCTTTAACTCCCCTGTCCCTTCAAAATCCAATAGTAACAGTAGCATTTATATACCTTCATTCAAGTATTATTTTTTAAAGTTTTATTTTAAAAAACACAAACAAAAACCACTGCCATCAAGTCAATTCTGACTCATAGTGATCCTACACAGGGTTTCCGAGACCGTCCACACCTTTTATAGGATAAGCTAGGCCCTGCTCTCACACAAGGAGTAGCTGATGATCTTGAACTACTGACCTTGCATTAGCAGTCCAATGCTAAGCCCAAAGTTAACACCAGGGCTCCTTATCAGTTTATACAGGATGCCCTATATATACACAATGGAAGATAAACTAGTCGTGCATACATTTACAGTGCAATATAAAAGATTTTAGGTACTAATGATACAAAGTGTTAAGAGGTTAAAAAACTAACATTTCCCCAAAAGCAAAAGGATTACAGACATGACTTGAGGTTTCAGGGAAAAAAACCAAAAACTTGGAAAGAGATAGAAAGAAGTAGACAAGTTTCAGGGTGAATTGAAGGAAGAGTAAAATTCTGTTAAGAGATCTAGCTGTATAAAGAGGGCCAAGCAATCTAAGATGGGAGCAGCAAAAACTGAGGCTCAGGAGTGAAAACACACAGAAGCTGTTGGAAGGACTGGATCCAGTTGAAGCCGTACTAAAACATAAGTCTAGGAAGAGTAAGGGGCTCTACTGGAGCAAGGCTGACATGCTGGTCTCAAATGTCTGATCTTAGTTTACAATCCAGTGGATACAGTGATCCACCGAAGATTAGCAAAAAAAGTGACAAGACGAGGACAATTAAGATGAACCAAGAACAAAACACGGGCAGACAAGCAGCAGGAGATGCCTTAGGACGTTTCTGCCACCAGACGCGAGACAGTGAGACCCTGAACTGAGGTGAAGAGGGTATGGAAAGATGTAAGAATTTTGTGCGAGTAGAAACTGTGACTGCATGCGAGAGATGAGAAAAGCACACTCGGAGCTTTTCACAGGCACGAGACTGAGATCTAGCCTTAAGAGATAATAAGCAGCCTCCACTAAAGGTAGAGCTAGATACCATGTTTAGATTATAGTCTAAACCAAGGGCTGACAATATATTAATAATCTTACTCTATTTCTTAAAACAAATCATCCCACAGCAAAATAAAAACATTAGATGATGGCATGTGTACCACAGTACACTAAAATATTAAAATTGAAACAGCCTAATTTATAAATTAGATGCTGCTCTATCCTTAATAACACTTGCAGACACACAGGTACAAGAAGTCCTGTATGTTTGAAATACACATATCAAGCCAGAGCATTTTAAGATGTTAAAAATACACTGTATGCTAAAATAGGTACACATTCAAAAAATAAGACTCACTAGCAAAATATAGCTAAAAAATATTAGTAGATGAGAATTATAACTAAATCATGTGTTTACGAAGGGGCTATAAAAAGTTCATGGAAAAATGCCATTATTTTTCTATTCCATTTTTCCATGAAATTTTTGAAGCCCCAAACTGCCATTTGGTTCATTCAGGTTAACTTACTCTTCTGATTAAGCAAAATCCATGATCTATTTGCCTAATGTCTAACACGTAAACTATGAGCTAGCGGAGGGGGCAGAGTTTCTCAGACACCTCAACCCCAGTTCTCAGCACTGAGGAGGCACCCCCAACAGACCTTTGAGAAATGGTTTCAAAGGTCTATTGCACTATGTCTATTACAGCACTTGCAAAACTTGGCATTACACAATAGCACAGAACCATTGATCCAAGTTGAGTGCCTACAATTCAACAGGTACTGGAGTTACAAAATGAGCCACATGTGACCCCTCCCTTGAACTTAGGATTGATTTCTCTAAACAAGTCAACCACCACAGGTTTAACTAGAAAACCTTGACTCACACTTGAGGTATGACGGCGAGTCCCTTAACTTCTTTAAGAATTTGATTGTTCCAACAGAAAAAAACCCGAGCACTCTGTAAAGTATTACTTGGTACCCATCCATGCCATTGGCTTTCCCCTGGCTTCTGACATCTACACAAGCAAATACAAGCATGTATCTATCTCAACACAAAACCATCACCCCGTCTCCACCTGGAAAAACTCTCAACGAAAACAAGATACTCTAGAGACTGGGTCAGAAAATGATTTTGATATGAGAACAATTCTATCTAGGTAAAGATACAATTTTTTACTAGAAAAATTTTAAGAAGTAAAAAGCACACGCTTTAATTTAATTAAGTTTTGTTGAAAAACTACTACTCTATTTCAAGACACTACTTCTGAATTTTACTAAAATGCAAACTGTAAATTTAGACTTGCGAATGACGAAATACTGCAACTACTTAACGGGAACTACTGCCCCCACCTCCATCACATGAGATCATTATCAAATGAGCACAAAACCTTAAAGCTTTCAAGCTTTTCACAAGCTTTTAAAATGCATTAATTATGGGGAAATTTGGGGGAAAAACAAGACTTAAGCTCTTCAACTGATAAAAACTAGCTTAAAACTACACGAGGATATAATAAGTTCCCCAGCAGACAAGCTATGTGTTCATTTTAACTTTTATTCATTATTTTTCAAATCTGCCTAAACTAATCCCTTCAAGACAATACATCATTTGAGCCAGCAATTATTCATAGAACATGCCAGTCAACACCACACTCCCAAAGGTCAAGTGAAAAACCATCGTGTTTCTGAACTGTTGATGGCACCGATTTTAACTTATCGAAATACAATGGATAAGCATGAAAGTGCACCACTAACTTGTATATGGAACGCCCGAGGGGGCTTTAAAAAAGTTTGCGGACTTTTCCATTATCTTTTAATTATAATTTCCACAAACTTTTCGAGGTCCTTCATATATATAAAAAAAACAAAAAACTAAATCACGTGGCTTGTTTGATATATATCACCTATCTAGTGCTCCTTTCATTTATTTCAGATTTGGGCAAGAGCTATTAAGACTATTTGCCAGTAAAGTAAGGTTTAAAAGCCATTTATATGTCTCTTAAATAAACACAAAGTATTTTTAAACTATTACAGACTTCACCTCATGAAAATCCTCAGCAGCCAAGATTTCGAAAAGAATCAAGCTTTGCATTATTAAACGTTTTCTTACCTTCTGCTACATCATCATCTACGGCTCCTTTCACCTGAGAAAAACACCACTGAATATCATTCCCTCCTCCAGCTCCTGGAAAAAACAACACACACACATACACACAAAATAGCAATTAAAATTGAGTTCTGTTCATGTTTACTCCCGTCAACAGTGAGATGGCATCCACGGTTGGCTTGATACTAATAGCTCCATACTACCTACACATATAACCACCATTCCACAGTACTAACTTAGAAAAAAGGTTAGTCCCCAAGAGCTGCTTAATTTAAAAAAAGGGGGGGAGAGGTGGCGAGGAGGAGATATTCCAGGTGAGCATACTTAAAGACATAGCTAATCATTAAATTGTACATTTATTCAAAACCTCCTTCCATTTTTACATCCACTAAAACCGGTTAAGAGCCGTCCGGTCAAGCAAGGCCTACCAGAAGACTAAATCTCAGAAGACAGGTGTACTTAAGTGTCCAAAAAGCCCACAGAAAAGTGCATTAGGGTAAACTACCATAAAGCAAAGATGGAAGAGAAAACTTCAGGAACATTGCTGCCCGAGTGATAAAGTAATGATTCATATGACCCCTATCACCACAGCACATACACAACAAACAAAACACACCGCCCATTGCTTTGCATCATTGGCTCCTGACAGGAAAAGAAATAGAATGGTACACTGTAGAAGTTGTTTCAGAGGAAGCGGTGTTTGCCTCCCTGCATCTTTTCCTTCAGAATCCAAAAGACCTTGCAAAAACAACCTTTGCTAATTTGTCACCTTCTTGTGCAAAACAACTTTGATTTCACTTTATGATCCAACCAGGCCAAAGAGCAACTTGTTAAGAGCAAACTATAAGTCAACCCAATGTTCGTTTTAAAAGTCCAATCTATTTAAATGCTGGAAAAACAGGGTAAAATTGATCTTAAGGATCTGGATGATTCCATTTCACACTCAAGCACTGAGAAGAACATCGTGAAAATGACCTGGAATCTACTGGCAGGGAGCCCATTCCAGATCTACAAGCGATTCTACCAGATGAAGGAGGGCACCTAACAAGAAAGGTACAAAAACAGTCCTCGGAGCCATTTCCCATTTCTTCCTTCATTCCATTCCCATGCCACGCTAAATCAATAGTCCAACCTGGTTTTTCCTACACATCCTCCATTTCCCCAAGCGTGTGCTTAAATCGCTCTCCTTTGCTATTTATGTCACTGAACTCCACAACTATTTGTATGAAAACCCATTTGGGGGAAAGACCATCTGCATAAAAGCTATGGTCCAGAACACAAACTTTAAGTTACATTTTTTTCATGCAACTTGCAGTATTAAATGGCCTGGCACTTTTAGGTCGGAACGGTTAAGAAACGAAACAAAACTACCTAAGTAGTTCTGAGTGTTCAAAACCCAAAATTCAGACTTTTCGTCTCCAAAATATACCTATTCACAGTAGGAAATGTATGTATGTATATATATTTATATATATATGCATTATTGTATTGTAACTTGAAAAGCACTCTTTGCAAAAACGTATTTATTTGTATATGCACCCAAAGAGCCTTGCAAGAGGAAATACAGGAATTAAATGATGGAAGATGTGGAGAAAAAAAAAAAAGAGGCCGGGGTGGGGGAGGAGGGGGAACTCCAGGCTCCAAAGCAGTCAAGACAAATCTGCACTCGCCCCCACCCCGCCCCACCCACGCCTTGCCGACACGCACCCCACCCCCACCCACGTAAAGGTTCCAGCCCTTATTTTAAAAGCCATTTTAGTCTCACAGCGACCACTACCCTCCCCAGAATTCTCCCCACCCCACCCCACCCCAGCGATTCCCTGAGATCCGAGGGGCGCCCCGTGGCTCTATGTGCGGCAGAGACCGTCGCTAGGGGGTGATGGAGGGAGAAGGAAGGAAGCCGTGCCTTGTCAGTGGCCGAGGATGATTTCTCCTTTACCTGCCATGTTGCGCTGCAAATGGTGACCCTGCTGGGTTCCTCGGGGTCTCTGCTCCTGAACTCACCCCCCTCACCTGGGGATGGGGGGGTAGAGAGGGCGGATGGCGGCGGATGGCACCTGTGTGGGGGAGGGGGCAGGGGTCGGGGAAGAAGGAAAGAGGGGCGAGCAGACCAGCCTGCAGGATGGTGGATTTCACTCTGGGGCTTCCCTGCTTTTGCTTTTTCTCCAGCAGCGACGGCGGCAGCTACGACGGCGGCGGCGGCAGCGGCGGCGGC